TGTAAAGTGAACATCCTGTCGCCGCAGCGACGCGGCGACTCGGCAGCCGGCGCCGACCGCTACGCGCCGCCTGAATTGTAGACTGTGCCGGGACGGAACGGAACGGTTCCGTCTTTACATCGCGCTCCCTACCGCTGATTACGTTCGATTCGCGTCAAATTTTGTGAGAAGACTAAGAAATGTACAGGCAATCTTATGGTGAAATAATTTTGAAAATCGGTTGGTAAACAATTGAAATATGAACGTGTAAACACAAAATTGTGATTGCTGCGTTTCCCGCATCGGCCGAGCCCGCCTCAGCCGGCGACATGTTACTCTTAGCAGGCCTCTAACTGCCATATTTATTATTGGATTAACTAGAAATTCCCCATGCATACTAAAAAATGTATGTTCTTTTGTATAGTGAAGATCAAAAGACGTGAAGATATCGTTGCGTGATAATGTTTTCGTTGAATTTACTTCATGATGCATTTCCACACGGCTCAAAATTCACCGCAAAATACCGTTTGCCTGAGACACTTTTACTATGGAACGTGAATGCTTGACTACGATGACTTAGACTATGCATTTCCATTCTCGCAGAGTTTGGGATATCACTAATCAGCATTCATTCATTTCAGAAAGTGTACACAAGCAAGCATGTCTTGACTCTGTCTTTCAAGGTCACGCGCGGTTGCGTGATGTTGATGCATGAAAACGGCGTTTGCCGCGAAAGTTATGAATGGCCCACTCCAATTTTTTTCACAGATGGTTAGGAACATTGTGACGGACATACCTAATATGTAAAAATTACCCAAATCGAAGGTGACGTGTTTTTTGCTATTTAAATTTTTCTGTTTTAATTCAAGGTCAAATGCATTTCAAGGTCACTTCAATTTAATTTTATAACTAAAAAGCAAAGCCTTATCAATTGCCTATAAGACCCTTTTAATATCATTTTGATACCAGAAAAGGAACCAGAGTTATAGCCATTTAAAAAATTGATGTGTGGCATTTTTCGCTATATTTGATGACCTATATCTCAGCGATACGTTATCAAATTTCGAAAATATTATACGTTACTCAGTTTTGAACCATGCCCAGTCTGCCTACAAATTTTCAGAAAAATCGAAGGGGATGACGGATTTCGGTGTTTGATTTGACGTGGAATGCCCCCAGTGGTATGTCGCTTTGAAGCCTGCAGTAGCAGTTATGCTGCACTTACATACCTATTTTGGTGTAGTGTCCCAAAGTCGCACTTTAACTTGGATGTCAGAGAGGAAAAGGGAATGAGTGTGAAAAATTGCCAGTCAGATAAGACACTTAAACTAGGGGGATGATCCATTTTTTAACATTGTGATTTTGAATGTCTTATTCATCAACCGTCTTATGATGACTAGCCAGAGCATTTGAAAAAAAATCAGATAAGGATGCAATGCTCACTGACCATTACTCATGAGTCATGATTTATCTGTGCAGTGTCCCAAAATTGAGTTTTGTCTTGGGTGTCAGAGGGGAAAATTACCCACCAAAAAGAGGGGAGAGAGTGGAAAACTGCTGATTCGATTAGATCAAAAAGGAGACAAAAAGCATGCATTTTATTCTAGGGTGTAGAATGTTTGATGCTAACTGGGCATCCACACAACTGTCTTTCTATAGGTAAAAAATCTATGTTTTCTTGGTGGGGACTTGGGAGTGGAAAATTGTTCTTAAAAATGGTGGTGATAGTGGAAAATGAATTTCATTTGGATGTCGTTTCCCACCCAAATAGACAAATTTTGGGACATTGTATCTGTGTCTTACGTCTTCATTCAGTGTAATGTCTCAGACCTTATACGGGAGAGTGGAAAGGTGGTGAGAACTTAAGATCATTTTAATCTCATTGTCGTTTCTTACCAGAATTTACAAATTTTGAGATGCTGTTGGATGTGACTTCACCTGTAAGTGGGACCGTCCCCGATCCTGTTTGTCATGAGGTAATTAGACCAGTATAGCGCCTTTTGGGGCGACCAACGGAGCGAGCGAGGGGGTGAGTCTTGCACGTGCGAAATTTCGAGGGGGTACCTCCAACTGACATGTGCACGGCACTCTACTGACCGGTTTCTAGCGATGTGCCAAATTTGAGCAAAATCGGCCCAGCCGTTCTCGAGATCTGGAAGCGGCACCCTGCACGTGCGCACGTGCAAAATGGGTCCCAACTGACTTGTGCACGGCACCCTACTAACTGGTCCCTAATCGTGTACCAAATTTGAGCGCCATCGGTCCAGCCGTTCTCGAGATCTGGAAACGACCCCTGCACGTGCGCACGTGCAGCAGCACCCCAACTCTGGCACATGGATATGCAGTGCCTAGTGGGTGCCTATCTACATGCCAACTTTCAGCGCAATCGGCCAAGTAGTTACCGAGATATTGCAACAATTACAAAACTGACACCTCCTCGTTTTGCACGTGGCACGTGCATAAGGGGTCACCCACATGCATCGGGAATAGTCCAATACTTGGTAGAAGGAATGAAGCTACCCTACAAAAATTACCGCATGTAAATCGGTCAAGTGGTTGCTGAGATATAAGCCTCGCAAAAGCGTCCGCACGGCCGGCCGGCCGGCCGGCCGCTCATACTCAGAAATTTCCGTTAAGCTAAGGAAAGACTCCGCTCGCTTCGCTCGCTCCGTAATAATACATGCCTAGATTCCTTCCACAATGCAGTTTTCGGTATATCTGTATCTGGGAGTCAAGTACCAGGTTCGTATCAAGCCCATGCCAACCGTTTTTGTTGTGAAATATCTCTCCCGAGCGAGAGCTCTCTCCGTCAATAGAGGCTATTGGAGAAGGCTCCTCAATCCGCATTCCGTTCATAACACCATTTTCGCCTGCATTCAATCACCCGTCTTCTTTACCGGTGACCGACAAAGGAATCGGTTATGAAGCATTGAATAGCTCAAGGAAATCTAAAAATAGAACCAAGGAAAATAAGTTGGATAAAGAGAGGTGAGAACTTGGTAAATATGAGACAATGTTACCTTTTTACGGTGTGCGTTACGGTGTTAGTATTTTTACGGTGTTACAATGTTTTATGGTTTGCGATCTTTGATTTCGCTCGCTGTTTTTGTGCAGACGGAAGCGCCGACGGAGTCCGTGTCGGCAACTGGCGACATCTGCAGCGGGGACGCCGAGCTCTCTGGCGCGGGGCAGAGCTCCGACCCCGCGGAGAAGACACCCAGCGTCTCCGGCCAGCCCGGTGACCAGTCGGACCGGCCTCCCGAGCCGTCTGACCCGCCGTCCCAGCCGGCTGAGGTACCGGTCCAGGTGATAGACGCACCAGCGGCCGCCGAGCAGACGAACCCTCCCAGTGAGACCTCCCCGACCTCAGAGCAGCCTTCAGTGACCATAGAGCAGTCCGTGAATCCCTCGGAGAGTTCTGTTAAAACCTCAGATGAATCTTCAGAATCCCCAGACCAGAGTTGCTCGTCGACAGACGAGTTCATTCCATCAGACCAGCCGGCCGTCGCGGCAGACCCGACGACAGGCCTTTCAGACCAGCCATCCGATCTCTCAGACCAGCCAGTAAACCCGTCAGACCCGTCGACCGCGACACCAGCAGACCAGCCAGCCGAGGGCTCACCACCACCTGCGGCTGACACCACAGAACAAAGCGAGGACGTCAGTCTCGACTCATCTAATATGAGTCTTGACGACAGTCTGTGCGGCAGTGATGCCGTGGTCGGCTCGCCTCCGCCAGCCACTGGCAACGAACCGGGGGCGTGAGAGCTCCCGCCTGCACCCTGTCCGGGCCGTCTGCTCGGCGCCGTGTAGTTCAATGCGCGGCCGACGCGGGCGCGGATCACCACCCGGTTGTTGGTATGCTCGGTGACATGTGACGCTCCTGGTCTGACGGCCGCCGCCCGGTGTGCAGTGGCAGTACAAACAGTGACTAGCTGACCGACCAGGTGACATGTCAGCGCCGCCGCTACCTCGCTCCGGGCACCGCGGCGGTCCCCTGTGGGGAGGATCAGAGCTGGTCCCGTGGAGGGAACGGTCTCAGTCGGTACTGAGCCGAGGTAGTGTGTCGGGGCGTCGGGAACGGGCGCAGCTCCGCCCCGTGGGTGGGAGACCCGCCAGTGGGGACATTCAGTTTGCGTTGCGCTCACATAAAACCAGCGGCAGGCTGGCCTCACACCAGTCGTCTGTCTGACCTCTAGGCTGTAGTGCTTAAGACAGTCTTTTGTACGTGAATTGTCCTGTCCATAATAAAGGTTCCATGTATAGTGATTGTGTTTGCCTGGGAAGCCTGTCTGAGCGTACATAAAACTTGAGCGTTCAATCACGACATGGGAGCTCTGAAGTTTGTCTTGCCAATTCGTAGTTTCACTCTCGGGTCGTGGCGAACACTGAACTGAAGCAATTTTCGCTGACTAGGGGAGCTGGGGGATTCGTACACCGAAGGTTAAATGGGAAACGTGCTATTTGTGGATTGTTGATTGTGCAACTGGTTAGTTTGATAGATGAATGTGAGTGCATGTTGTTGATGATGCGAGGCGAGTGCATGTTGTTGATGATGATGCGATGCTGAGTGCTTTCTTTTCTGAAAAGTGAAATTACGGCTAAAGAGCACTCGGCGTAACTATTGCCAAGAGTTTTGTTTTTAAATAACGGTGGGAATTAGCACACCTTCGCCGGAGCCGGTTCCAGAAATGAGCCTTAACCAAAGAGTCTTCAGAAACCCATCACACTCTCTTGTGTTAGGATAAATCGCATCCCGATCGAGCATGCTAAAGTTTCAGCAGCGATTTAAGTTCATCTTCGACTTCTCGGCTGACTTATAAATGGAGCTTTACAGATGTTGACACGCGCAAAGCCGGCTCAACTTGCTATGCTAAATGCCGCGGCGATCTGTGCTCGAATTGATGCGGCGTTCGCTGTTCGTCGGTGGCGGCGCCGGGCGGAACGCGGGCGGGCGGCTCGGCGGGTCGGGTCGGGCCGGCCGGTCCGCCGGCGGCAGTGCCGCGCGGACTGCCGCCGGCTGAGGTGCGGCAGGGGGAGGATGGCGCCGGGACGGGGCCGGCCGCTGCTCCCGCTGTCCGTGCTGGGGCCGCTGCCGCTGCTGCTGCTGCTGCTAACCTGCGCCCGACCAACGAACGGTGAGTACTGAGACTCGAGTCGCTCGAGTGAAGTCGTTGTTATTATCATCAGACACCGTGTAACTTGATCTCACTTGCAACTAACTTATTGGTACTGTCAACCGACTCGCAAATCCGTTTACGGATAATACCTAAGTGTTTTAGATTATAGTCAGGGTTTTTATTGTGCGCGTTGTCTTGTTCCTGACCACATTGGTCGGAAACCTAACCCGATGCTCCGACTCTTGTCCCTGAACCGGCCCCCTGTAACCTGATCGGGACGCTGGGGCATTTAACAGAATTATGATGAACGGGACAAGCTGCGTCCGGTCGGTTGGGCCCAGCCTGTCCCGCCGCTCACCTCCCTCGACCTTTGTTTGGTGTTCTACGTTTTTGTAACCATTAACCGTGGGTTATCCCTGTAAGTAACACGAACAGCGAAACTCGTAGAGATTCGAACGATATGTTCTGGAATACCGCGGAAGTTATAGATAAACCGTTATAAGCTGCGCTGCAACTGAAGGGGATTAGTTTAAGAAGTGTAATAATGGAGCAATGAATTCCTACCAATTCCAATTGCAGTTCGTTAATGATCGTTAGCTAAACCGGCAGTAATCAAGCTACATTAAATGATAACGTAAGGGTATCGAATTACCTCCAGATGAACTGCCTGGGTCACGGGAGCGCGTCGGCTGAGTTAGACGGACTGCAGATATGGGTCTGTCCCAACCGATCTAACTGTGTACTCGTATTGTACACTTTCTGGGATGTGAGCGGATTTGTAGGACTCCCCCAGCCTCGACATACTGTCACGGGCTTATGCGAAAGCCCCGGCTAAAATATCTTTGCTGGAACGGTTAGGACGCGCCAAAGGGAGGACGAAGCCCCAGCGCAGCTCAGGTGTCGGCCCGGCGGGTGAGTGGCTGCAAGAGCCGAGCAGTGTTTGTTTAAACACCGCCGCTCACTCGGAAGTAATGGTTGTTGGACGACGGAGGAGCGGTGGGAAGGGGGGGGGGGGCGAACGCAGATACTTACTTCCCGATATACACCACCTGGGCTGTGTGTGGTGATACCGTGCGCGGCGGAGGGACGGCGTGAATGGTGCGATGTGAGTGGGACCACCGGGTACCGACCAAACCAGGCGCCGACTAACAAAGCGGCCGAACGGCGAGCGGCCAAAAGCTGCTAGCTTATACAAACTAACCAATCGCCTCTAGAAGATTTGTTGACCGACTCACGATCTACGGGTAGAGTATGGGTAGAGCTGTCAATCGACTCGAGCCATGGCTTTACTCCAAAGTGAATGACCGGCTCAAGTCTCCGGTCACAGCTGAGGACCGACTCACATCCCCAGACAAACTCACAGCGCCAGGCAGATTCACAGCGCCAGGCAGATTCACGGCGCCAAACAGACTGACTGGACCAGACAGACTGACTGGACCAGACAGACTCACGGTCCCAGCAAACCTAGGCGCCAGACCGACTCATGAGACCGACTCACGTCTCACGACCCCAGAGAGACTGACTGGGCCAGACAGACTCACAGTCCCAGACTGACTCACGACCCCAACCAGAGCCATGGCCCCAGACTTACATCGCCCCAGACAAACTCACGAGACAGACTCACGGCCCAGGACCGACGAACTCAGACATACTCACTTTCCCCAGACAAACTCATGCCCCAGAACGACTCACGGTACCAAACAGAACCACGACCCCAGACCCACAGCGCCCTAGAAGACTCAGGGCGTCAGACAGTCTCACGACGCCACAACGACTCACGGCGCCAGACAGTCTCTGGCCGATTGTTCCAACCCCGTTGTAACAGTTCTTATGGCCGTCTCACATCCTCGGGAATAGCTGTCGCCTCTAATACCTACCACATCAGCCGTCTCCCGAGCTTTGATGGATTCACGACACAGCCGACTCACGAATAACGACTTACGACTGCCCTAGTCGATTTACGAACCCCGTGCTACAGCTCTTCGGGACCATTCCTAGCTCTAAAGTGCCTCTGCTGTCAATCCTATAGGATTGACAGCAGGATCCATAGTATACTATGAATCAAGTCAGCCGCAAAGGCTCATCTGGTGTTTCGACATCATTCCATAGACTATCGGGACATGAGCTGCAAATTGTAGACTAGCGACTGCTTAAAAGGGGCCTGGAAAGCTGAACGGCGCTATAACGTGTGTGGTGCAGCGTTGGCTAATTTCAGGAAGGGATTGGCCGCGGAAACAGACGAGCTGTGTCGTGATTCGTGACGCTGCGTGCGCTAACGACTGGCACCTATTTCTAAATTAATGGTGTGCGGCAGTGGCTGGTGCGTTATCCTATGGGTGCGAGCTGAATGCGAGGGATTATTTTACTAAGATAAGGCTCATAATGGTAAAAACTTCCATTCGCATGAGCCACCCAGACTGAGACGGCCGTATAGTGTCATTGGCTTCCTTTTGATGCCTTTACGTGGGGGGGGTGAGATCGCCTCGTCTCCGTCCAATGGTGATATAAAGTACTTCCCCCCGGGCTATACACAGCGATCTTTTTCATACATGGCATGGTAATTGTGCCAAATTATTTTCGGCTAAATGGAACTGCGAGCAATACCATGCATTGTAAAAGCTGACGAGGGATGATTATTGATTAAAATACACACGAGCACCGACTGTATGTAGAGTAGGTATGAATGACCATACCGGCTTACCTGGCGTCAGCTCATCATCATATATGTCAGCCCGGCTGCTTCATCTATATCGGAGTACACGGACGGAGAGAGACAGTCCGACCACTCTGCCTGTATTAGAGCCTACGGTCGGAGAGGGACTGCCCGAACCTATATATCGGAGCACGGACGGACTCGCCGGCGGCCTGCGAGCAATTAGTGGCGTCCGAGCCACTCGGACGAGCAATCAGCTCGGCCCGGCAGCGACTCAAGAGCGGCTGCCCGGCCCGACGGCACTGATTGAACCGTGCGAGCGGCGCGGCCGGGGCACCGGAGGCAGCGCACAGAAACCGGGCGAACCGAACAGAAATCGGACAGCGCACTGCTCAAACCGGGCAGCGCGCACCGAACAGGAAACGGGCAGCGCACTGTTAAAAAAAAAAAAAAAACGGGCAGGGCACCGCTCAGGAGCCTGGCAAGCAGTACGCAAAGCTAAGGAATCGGGCAGCACACCGCTTAGAGACGGACAGTGCACCGCTCAGAAACCGTCAGAACAAGCGCATGTAGTGGCACGGGCGGCTGGCATACTCGTGGTATATGCTGACATACTCGTGACTCACAGGACTGTATTGCTCAATGTGGAGTGCAGCGTATTAGAGGCCGCCGAGACGTAAAAAAAACAAGTAGGTACCGAAAAGTAAAAAGCAACGGTCTCTCCCATTAGGCGCTCCCACAAAACGAGTGGGTGGCACAGTTTAGCCGAATTTCCTGTTGGGGAAGGAGAGGAAGAAGGAGAGAAGAGAGGACGTGATGTGGTATGAGGAGATGAGACGAGACGAGACGAGACGAGACGAGACGAGACGAGACGAGACGAGTCGAGACGAGAAAAGGAGAGCAGAGCAGAGCAGAACAGCAGAGCAGAGCAGAGCAGAGCAGAGGAGCAGAGCAGAGCAGAGCAGAGCAGAGCAGAGCAGAGCAGAGCAGAGCAGAGCAGAGCAGAGCAGAGCAGAGCAGAGCAGAGCAGAGCAGAGCAGAGCAGAGCAGAGCAGAGCAGAGGTGAGGGAAGGTGAGGAGAGAACAGTTGGGGAAGAGAGAATATGAAATGAGAATGACGGCAGCTCTTGGGCAAAGAAGGAGAAACTCCGGGGGAGGAGCGCCTCCCCTGAGAGGGAAAACTGCCAGAAGTTCCCCGCCCGGGCCGGAAAGTAAACGTCCGGTCAGCAGTAGTGGCTCGTCGCGTCGAGCGGGGAGGCGCTGAGGGATATGGGGGTCCAGGAACTAGCCACAATGGTGGGGTCACGGGGTCGGGGTCATTACGGGCGGGAGCATGATGAGTGTCGGTCGTTTAGAGACGGCCAGGGTCATGCAATAGAAATGCGACCACTGCAGGAGAGTGGGTCGCTGAAATCGCGTCGCAGCTTTATATGAGCGACTGAGAGACATTGGAAGACTGTAAGAAACTTGAGCGACTGAAATATTTGGAAAATAACGGACATGATGATTTAGTGACGTGTGATAGACGCGTTAGACACCTGTCGTTGAAAGACGTCTTACTGAGAGAGACAAGCAGCCTGAAAGTCATGCTTTGGATGCAAGAGGTGGTTAAGACTGCAGGGCTCCGTGAGATGAATTACTAAAAGCCTCGCTGGAATAGGTCACTGAGGATCGGGCTCCTCTAACCGTCTGCTCTGCGTGAGTGTATGTACATAAGTTCCGCATGGTCATGTGAGTGTACCCGCCCTGACCCCCACTTGTTTACACCGCAGGTGTGGTGTACCTCGGCCCTCGGTTCATCTCCGAACCACCAGGCGTGGTGCGCTACTCCAACAGCTCGGGAGTGCGACTCGACTGTCGTGCCACCGGCTCTCCTCCCGTGGATGTCCAGTGGACCACCGTCTCCGGTGAACCCGTCTCATACGTACCGGGGATCAGGTGAGTGCCGTCTCTTACGTACCGGGGATTAGGTGAGTGTCATCTCTTACGTACCGGGGATCAGGTGAGTGCTGTCTCCTTATTACTAGGGATCAGATGAGTGCCATATTTCTTACGTACACGGGATTGGGTGAGCGAGGTATTTTTCTGTACCAGGGATCAGGTGAGTGCCGTCTCCTATGTATTTATCGGATCAGGTGATCTCATCCGTACCAGGGATCAGGTGAGCGCCGTCTCTTCCGTGCCCGGGATCAGGCGAGTGCCGTGTTTCCAACGTGACAGCGATTAGGTGAGGCACTCACCGCTCATCTTTTCCCACCGTGAACCGAATAGACACTTTGATGGATGGAAATTTTAAATTTATCTTTATGCGAGCGATTTTATATCTGCGTGTCTTATACCGACATAAGGCGGACCGATAGGGGAGAATTATTATCGTCGGGAGCCCATGTCAGCGTCCCACAAGATTCCATCGAACGGGCTCGATTGGCCTAATCAGGCCATACGGGAGCGATGTCGGTCCGCCATCCCGACGGAGCATCGGCACCGTCCCACGAGGGAGCGGTCAGCGACGGGGTACCGAGCTGACCGTGACTCGGGGGCCCCTTGGCGACGCTGGATTCGTGTCTGGTTGGGGTCACTGGCTGTTCTGGCTGTCTTTGGGCCGCCATGCATTCATGTCTGGCCGGGGCCCACCGGCTGCCCTGTGGAATGTGGATGGCTTAGGCCGCTGTATTGGTGTCTGACTGGCTGATGTCCGTGTCTGTTAGTCATTCTCTGTGTCCATGCGCTGTTGCTGTTTGCATTTGCGGCTTGTCCGCGTTTCTGACCTTTCCGTGTCCATGGCTGTGACCTTATCTAGTGCCCACGTCTGCGGACTGTCCGTGTCAGTTTGGTTACATTCGTATCCATTTGCCACTCTCCGTGTCTGAAGGCTGCTCTCCGTGTCTGTTGTCTGGCCCGCCCTCCGCGTGTCTGAGGTCCACCCTTGGTGTCTGTGGATCACCCTCCGTGTCTGAGGGCCTTCCTCCGAGTTTCGACCACCCTCTCCATGCCTGCACCGTGCTCTCCGTGCCTGAGGGCCACCCCGACCGTGTGCCTCTGTCGGCGCCTTGCCGCGGGCGGCCCCCCGCCGTGCAGTGCTCCGCGCGTGCCGTCTGCCGCGGTAAACAGACACCGAGTAATGACCGCACGCTGTTTATTGGCCGTCGCCCGCTCTGTTGTCGCTCGTGTATCGCACAACAACTCCACGGAAGGAAACCTCCAGACGCGCTGTCCGCACCCCTGGGAATCATCTCGCGAGAGAGGAAAAGAACGTGTTTCTGTGAATCATGATGCATTGTGAGAAACACTTCCTTACTCAAAAGACGGTGCTCGTGACAAAAGGGGTGCATTTCATTAGCAATGTTTTTGAGTGACAAAAAGCGTTTATTCGTCAGCCACACCGAGGCGCTATTTTGTTATAAAATTTATTTTCACACGTAATTTATGTCCAATCTGAAACATGTAATTGAAGGAGGAAAAACGTTTGGACTCGATGGCGGTTGATTTATCAGCGTCCCCGCATATATGTAATAGAAGACAGAAAACATGTTTGGCAAGTAGCATATTGCGAAAATGGAACTGAACATGTCAACGAGCTCAGTTACTTGAATATGTAGAGCATCAATTGGCACTTCATCGTTGCTGAGCATGGGACATTCCATTACTGATGCTGCTTGTATGTAAATGGCGAATCCAAGAACAAGGGGAATTTGGCGCCTCTTCTACAGCTTCCGAAGTTGACGAAATTCTGTTAGTTTTTTTTTTTAAATAACTTCTTTGCATGTTTATTAAAAAAAGTCGCATTTTATTTGCTGAGCAACGCACAAGGAAGTGATTTTTTACACTTTTGAAAACCTCTTTGGGAAGTAAGTCTATGCTTTTGCACCGTCTAATAGCAGCTTTCGGAATTCGGTAATGTTTCATGCATATAATATATCTAAAAAGTGATATATTCGCTTCAATAAAGTACATTTCTTCTGAGAGTCCGTATGATTTGACCTGAAGTGGACAGTAAAAGAATACTAGGCTGGACAGCTCTATCCGTTTTACGGCCGCACTTTAGTGTTCAGTGCGGCGTGAACGGTGGCCGCTGGATTGTTGGGCCGGCCGTTTGACGAGCGCCCGGTGAGCCCCACATATATATCGGGATCGGCCGACCATTGCAAGTCGCCGCCGGCCGTCACTGGCCGCCATTGAGATTCATTTGACCCGACCGGGCCATTGTCGCCGCTCCCTGCGCTGATGGAACCACATAAATCAGACAGGCGACCGGCAAAACCGCCTCCGATAGGCGGCCTGCCGACAAAAGCAGCCGGCACTCCCATGAGCCGAGCGCGCCTTCTGCGATGGCCTGTCACGCCGCTTCCGTTACAGCTTATTATCTCGGTTATTAGACGGTCAAACACGCCATAAAATGGCGCTTCATGTTGAAAAGCAAGCGACCCTCCTGTCTTAAGTGCACAAAGTGCATGATTTCGACTTTGTTATTCCGCCCAATTTAACAGTATAGTATTTTTCAGCTGCGTTTGACAAAGCCAGCGCATGACATTACAGTCACTGAAAGTTGGAGCTCCTCTGTCAGGAGTCAAAACTGATAAATTCCTTCTTATGTCGCTTGTATTTACATCAACTTATCAATGCTCAGTTAAGGACAAGGTGTAATCCCGCTTTTCACTGGTGAACTTTTAAATCACTAGCACGTTATCAAGCTGCTAGCTTGTCATCCGCTCACTACCGCCACTAACTAACCACTGGCACGCCGGGCGCAGACACGGAACGCGAAATGAAAGGCGCGCTCCATAAAGCGCGGATGAAGATTACACGTAGGGGTATAGCCGAGCCGTCTGGGTGATGTAGTGGCCCATTTGGCGGCGCGGCCAGCGTGGTCGTCCGGCCGGTGCTACCATGCGCACCACGCTGACACGGAGCCCGCCTGAATACTAGTGGGCTCGTTAGAGAGTGGCGATGGCTTCAGTGCGGCGTGTCCTGATGCGCGCGTGGGGAGCTCAAACTGGGAGCGATGCCAAGGGGGGGGGGGGGCATTGAGGAGAGATATGATGGAGAGGATGAGAGGCAAAAAGAGGCAAAGAGAGAAAGACAGCCAAACCTGTAGACAGATTAACATGCAACACCAAGCTGAGCTACAGCCACGTTTTACTTAAACTTCACTACACCTAGCCGTGGACCAGGAAACATCAGGCTCACTGAAGTGTTACAGCGTTACGGTTGAATCGGAGGTAGAATGGTTTCAATAACGGGCGCGCCCAGTGACAGCCGACGGCGCCTGGCTCGTGCACAGCTGCCTGTCTGTCTGTCTGTCCGGCTGTCCGGGTGTTCGTTCGGTTCGAGACCGACCGGTGAATGTTCTGTGGAGGGGGGGGGGGGCATCTCGCTCCGCCAGTAAGCGCTGCTCTGACCCATCGCCCGTCCGTGTGACTGACGCCGTGCCCCGTCCCGCTTCTGTTGGCTAACGGGATAGCACGTGTCTGTACATCGACCACTTCCTCACTGAACTGCATTTCCGACCTACAGATGCAGTGTCGGGAATGTTCCAGAGTCTTCCTTCAGCAGTGACGGCCGGTGGCAGATGGGTTAAGCTGACCTCATTTATGATTTGCTACTAATCAGACTACATATGTAGATGTGGTAGTGGGCTGGGTTAAAAATGGGGATATAAATGAGCTTCATTCTTCAGCTTCTAAGGCAAGCCGAAAGTTGAAACAGCTAACAATTCACATGAACCGCTAAGGTGCCACCGTCAACAATCCACACCACACTTCACAGTAAATCACTACGACACTGGCGGAAGATATACGGAACTCCTAAAGTCACACAACTTCTCATCAGAAACATGATGTAACGACCTGAATGCAAACAACGAAGACAAACACATAATTAAAACAATAAAAGTTGGAGAAGCACAATAAAGCTGGAGAAGCAGGCAAAACGGCAGATTATTACTCCAGCGCCGAGCAAAGACCAAGGCCTACCACTACGGCATCTGATAGGTGCTCGGCCGCATTTGGTACTCACAAATGCATCCTTCCATTGCTTTGGATTTGCCTTAGTTTTCTGTGGTATCGACTGACAAAACCTTAGCCTAGCATTAGAAGGAGGGCTTCGGTTCCTCATGCGCCATGAAGTGAGTTCTCAAAGGGATTCCAGCTTACCGCGAATGCATGTTTCAAACTTGCCGTAAGTTTCTCGTAAATAAGACGCCGATGTCGGTGAAATGAGCAACTGGTGCCAACACTTTAGTCGAAAAGCCACTCCAAACTGAATCATGAATTTCATTTCTTATTCCGGCGGGCGAGATGCACCTTTGTACCGTGTTGATGCCCGGACAAAGGCCGAGTTAAGCCGAGAATACCAGCACTGTTCGCGGCATGCTCCAGTGGCGTTGTATCTCACATCTGCAGGCCGGCCCGGGTGCTCGGCGGAATTTATTGGGTCAGGCCGCATTTGACTCTCTGAAACGGCATGATGAGTGGCCTGTGACTGTGACTTTATTTCAGCGGCTCTCCGGAGGGCACTGCCGGCCGGCGTCATTCCTATTCATATCCGCCGCCGGCCGGCCGGCCGCCATCGACCCGCGGTGTCAGGACTCCCCGGCCGCGGGCGGTGGGTTGCCGGCTGCCGCCCACGGGCGGTGGACTGTTCCGCCCACGGCTGCGGACCCCGCGGGCAGATCAGCTCACTGCAGGATGGGATGCTGCAGGCATGGTCCGGTTCATATGGTTTGACGGGCTGGGCGAGTCCACTGCGATGGGATGGTGCAGGCGTGGTCCGGTTCTATGCAGTGGAGCTCACTGTGGCGTGATACTGCTAGATCCCGTTCTATGATCCCGTTCTCTGGGAGAAGCTCGATCCACTCCAGTGTAACGGGATGCTGGAAATATCTTACCGGTTCTATGGGGTTTGCTCTGGCCTCTGGACGGCTTGGTCCAGTCCGTTGCAGCGAAATGCTGATGCAAGTGGCATGGTTCAATTCTCTGCCGTATGACTTGCTCGGTTCAGCTCATTGCACCGGGACGCTGGCATTGTCCGGTACTCAGTGGCTCTGAGGCATGGTCCGGTACCCATGGTGTGCTCCAGGTGGCTCGGCCATCCAGCTGAAACTTGATCGGTGCGGCACGATCCGTCTGATACCGACACAGTCCGTCCTCTTGTGTGTCAGTGGTTGGCGATATGGTCTTCCACTGTGTTGTGCTCGAGTGGCAATGCCTATCATCTGTGGTTTGGTCAATTATTGCAAGTTGGACAATCTCCGTAGACTGAACAGATCTTCCGTCTTACCTTTACCTGAATCGTCCTCGCCTTTTCTCGGCCGCTCCAGACCTGCCAGCTCCCGTCAGCTACGGTAGTCCATTTTACGTCTGCTGCGATCACCCCGTCGCTTTGTTGGAGTTCCTTCCTTTTAGGCCGTCTCCCAGGAGTCCCGTTGTAGTCTTGGCTCGGTGTAAATAATAGTGCGCCGGCAGGCCGGCGGCCGATCGGCCCCGGCTGTTTTGTTCAGACGACTGGGCGTGAGCAGGCAGGCTGACGCGCTGCACACATTGCTGCGACCCGGAGGCAGTTTTTGTCCACCCAGCTGGCCGGGCGGTGATTACGTGAGATGTGGCCACTGCCACCGCTCGGCCTAAGAGCCGGACGAACGAGCGATCGGGCTGGGTTTTGTGCGACACACTCCATTCTCCAGAACGGAAATATTAGCTGCCCGGGACAGCTATTTCTCTGTGTCCGGAAGGTTGTTACTTAGTGTCCGCATTAACCACTTCTCTACTCATACGACCGGAAGTGTCATTTCTCTGTCCGGAAGTGTCATTTCTCATTCCGGAAGTGTCACTTCTCTGGGTACGGAACTGCTCGCATGAGTCCTCATCCTCATCTATGCTGAGGATGCTGTTGAATACACTGATTCTGATTCTGATTCTGAGTCAGGAAGTGTTGCTTTTCTGGACTCGGAAATGCCAAAATTGTGCCACCAGGGACTCGGGGGACATCCCACCGTGTAACCCATAGAGCGGACGTCGTGAGAGTGGAAGCTGAGCTGTGTGTCTCGGATTTTCTATGACTTCCTATGACTCCGTTTCCATGGCAGTTGTGATCGATAAATGCGAGTAAGCGAACTTAGATAACCTAAGATGTTATCGGAAGATGGAAACAAGGAAGCAATTATGTATTATGCAATGCAGATGCACTTTTTGCTGTTCATGTCGGAAAATATATTCAAGGAAGGAGAGAGAAACACTCGACAAGACATTAGTAATCTAGATCAGAAGTGTTCATGGAAACGGGCTTCATGGTGTATAAACGTTTATTATTTGTTTATTATCACCAAGACACCCACAGGCACAAAGAGCCCACTTACAGATGCAGTCACATATGTGGGCAGTCACAAACGTCTCCTGTTTGATGTTCTGTCTGAGCCCCTGCAGTGCATATGACGCCTGTTTCTCGTTCTGCAGGGAATCGCTGTCGAACGGCAGTCTGGTGTTCGCCCCGTTCCCGGCCCGGCTGTTCAGACAGGACGTCCACGGCGGCAGGTACCGCTGCGTCGCCTCCAACAGCCTGGGCACCATCATCAGCAGGACCGTCCGACTCAAACCAGGTCAGTTCGAACGGTAACAATGCACAGGTTCTGATCGAAGGTACACGAATCGGACGCTGCTGAAAGTCACGTTTGGTTACCGATGCTTGCTGGCATCGCTGGCATGCTTGCTCTCTGTTTAGGGTGTGGGTAATGTTAAATTGGCCCATTGCACTTACCGGAGCAACTACCAGAGGAAACAGATTCAGATTCAGATTCAGATGTATTCGAATAAGGTCCACAATAAACGTGGCTTTTCACTCATTCACGTCTTATGTAGAGCAGAAAGGGAAGCTGGAACACAAGACACAACGGCCACTCTCATTCTTACACATACGCATGCACGCGGGCGCGCGCGAGCGCGACACCAAAACACTGAAGCTCACAACGACATAGCAAATCGCTTCGCTTCAGCCCGAAAAGATGGAATGCCGGGCTCAATGCGCGAGTTATTAATGAGTGACATTCCGCGATAACAGAGTCGCCGCCTGCCTGCCTCAACTCGGATTGTTGGTAGGGTATAAAGATCAGCCCGTCTGGTGTCATGATTGTGCCGCTGACGCGCTCGCGGTCCAAAAGTCTGGAGTATGGCGTCCGGCTGGCCTGACCTTATTGTCCGATCGACAGCGCACATTGTATGGTAGGCCACAAGCTGCTTAGCCGTGAGCCAGCGAAGCTGCGATATTGCGTCAGAAATGTGGTCACATCGCCGCTTTCCTGTCACAACACGTGCACAGAAGTTGATGATTTTCTGCACACGGTGGAGTTGGGTCTCAGTACATGATCCATATACAGACATGCAGTACCGCACAATGGATAACACGAGTGCCTGTACAATGCCCTTCACGACAGAACTGGGTATAACGTGGCGTGCATGGTTCAGGGCAATCAGGATCCCAGCGCATTTACGGGACATGGCGTCAATGTGGGCTTCAAAGTTGAGATGCCGATCAACTATCACGCCGAGGTTCTTAACTACCCTAGAATCGGGAATAGCATTTCCACAGAACTCAAGTGTAACAGGAGGCAGATCACGCAACATCGACGGAGTCCCAAGCACCAGCATCTGGGTCTTGCTCGCGTTCACTTTCATGCCGTTGTGACAAAACCATTGAAATACAGTAACTAGCGTCTCTTCCATACGGACGATGAGCTGGTGTAAGTCACGCTTCTTGCCTGTGATAAGCAGCTGCGTGTCGTCTGCGTATTGTACGACGCTGACATTGTCTGGCACATGTAAGCTTAGATCATTGGCGAAAAGCATATACAAAATACAGCTCAACGCGCCTCTTTGGTACACACCGATAACATTGTTTTTGGTGTTAGAGAGCATCACATTTCCATTAGCACACCGTACCTGCACCTGCTGCGAGTGATCGGCCAAATAGTCTCGGAACCATGTGGTGGTGATACCGTAAAGGTGCAGCTTTTCCAAAAGTTTGTCATGAGAAATAACATCAAAGCATTTTGACAAATCAAGTAACACCAAAATACATATCTGCCCACTGTCCATAGCGCGAAGTGCCAGGTCAGTCACTGCATGAAGTGCCGTTTCCGTTGAATGGAACCTGCGATATCCGTGTTGCGGGTCAGAAAGCAAACAATTTTCTTCCAGGTAAGCAATAAGTTGGACCTGCACAATACGTTCAACTATTTTCATAACAGCAGGCAAGATTGATATCGGTCGCGTCTCAGATGGTTTGACAGCACCTTCACCTTTGGGGATAGGCGTGACCAACGCATGTTTCCACGCACGCGGCACCGCCCCGGTGGAACAGATAAGATAAGCATTTTGAGAGCATTTAATTCCTAATGCGTGCTATTTGAGGTTATCAGTTTTGATCATCTTTAGTGTGCAGATCTGTTGAAAGATATGCTGTCGTTTATCAAGCTTCATTACGAGCGAACGAGCGCAGCGAGCGAGCGAGTTCATACTGAATTAAGGGAAAATCCTGAGTATGAGCGGCCGGCCGGCCGTGGGGACGCTCTTCAAAAGCTAATATCTTAGGAACGGGACATCCGATTGACAAGCGGCCTTCTTTACTGAATCTCACTTGGACGTAAAAGTTCTGTGGTGTGATGGCCACCTTGCGTTCTTGCCAACCACCGCACGTGGCGCGTGGTAAAGTTGGACATTTTTTAAGAACCCCCAAAATTGCAACCTCAATAACGGCACAACGGTTGGGCCGATTGAATTGAAACTCGGTACACAGTTAGGTCTCCATCAGATAATTCATCTGCATGTGTTAACCCGGCGGCCGCTGGGCCTCCGCGCCACCCGCCGGCCGCTGGGGGGGGGGGGGCATATAGTTGCCCCCCCTTTACTTCTGCGACGATATCGTCGCAACGCGAAGAGATAGAGAAGCGAAACTTTGCACACATCTTCCTGAATACCTAGCCGAGGTTGTGTCCAAATTTGGTGTCGATTCCATTTGAAATGACGTCACAGTGACGTCATAAGTGAAATTATAGATTTGCGACTCTCATATTCCTCACGATACATCAGATATATGGGACCGAATATAAAGGGTCGATTATTGGTCAGAAACTAGATGGAAGTGTAGTTAGATGTTTTAGGATGACAGCAGGTGCTGTCGAGTTCATTTACAGTTGAGTTTCATGCTCAGCGTCATCAGAAACGGTCCATATCGGAAAACGACAAAACTTTATGACGTCACTGTGACGTCATCTTAGGTACTACAACCACCAAACTTTCCTCTAACATTGCCTAGGTATTCATTTGAAGCTATGCCAAGTTTTACGTTCGTAGCTCATCAGGTTTCGGAGATATTTTACAAAACGTAAAGGGGGGCAACTTTATGCCCCCCCCCCCAGCGGCTCGTGGGTTAAGGTTGGGGTGCTACAGCACGTGCGCACGTGCAGGGGGCGCTCCCAGATCTCGAGAACGGCTGGGCCGATTGCGCTCAAATTTGGTACACGGTTGGGGACCAGTTAGTAGGGTGCCGTGCAAAAGTCAGTTTGGACCCCGCTTGCACGTGCGCACGTGCAGAATGCCGCTTCCAGATCTCAGGAACGGCTGGGCCGATTGCGTTCAAATTTGGCACACCGCGAGCGACCGGTTAGAAGGGTGCTTTGCACAAGCCCGTTGAAAGTACCCTCTCGCCCTTGCGCACGTGCAGGGCTCACTATCTCGCTCGCTCGTTCTTCGCCCAAAAGGCGTTTTACTGGTAATTATGACCAAAGGGAGCTTCACCTTACGGCAAACAAAATTAACATCCATCACGTGCTACTAATTAATATATATTTAATCGGACCGCCTCTTCGATATACCAGGTATTATTCGGTGTGCCTAGCCAAGGGTGTTTTAAATAATGCCCGAACGGAGTGAGGGCATTATTTTTTCTAAAATATTAACCGAACGAAGTGAGGTTAATATTTTCAAAAATAGCACGAATGAAATGAGTGATATTTTTGTATTTAATGCACGAGCCTGCGAGTGCATTAAATATAAACACTCTTGGCAAGGCACACCGAATAATGCCTGGTGTACCGAGGAGGCGGTCCGATTACATTTATTATAACGACTTTGCGCCGTTCGTTGCTCAGCTCGTCTGTTTAAAAGGGCTACATTGAGGGATTGGGAAAAGAAACGGGGCTTGGTTTTGTTTTCGGGGAACATTTGTTAATAACGAAGTGTGTACTAATTAATCAAATTAATAGCGCCAATTAGGAAATGCAATAGTGGAATAAGTGGACTGTGCAATGTCTCGGTCAGTCTCCTATATTCATATGCAGGCCCTCTTGCAGCACTTGTAAAGAACTTATGCACCCAGGGCCGCCTTCTGTGAGAACCTTATACTGAAAACGCGTATTTACAAGCTCTGATCTATTCCATCATCTCTGTATCATGTGCGCCTGGGTATACCTATCAGACACTTGACCTGCGCTGCTCCTATCACGATAAGTGGCTACAGCCCATTCTGGGTCTTCCTTGTGTTGGTTGGAACACCTTCTGCTTCTCTGTTCGCCAGCTCTTGGGAGAGCAAACTGCAGTTTTTTTCTCGCTGTCTGTACCATTCGTATCCATTTTCTGCATTATGAGCATCACCTTTGAGTGATCGGACAAAGCAGTGGGCCTATCAGATTAAAAAAAAGAAGGCGTCTCAAAGCTCTCTATGAATTTGATTTAGCTCTGTGTTGCCTTCGGTGCCCTTAACATTCAATCTCAATGCAGGCCAATATTCTTTTTTTTTCAGCGAGCAGCTTGAAACCATTCTTGTGAAACCATTCGGGCTCCACCACGGAAAGAAAAAGTCTGATTAACAGTATTATTCCCGGGATTAATTTCTGTTATACCGACGTTTTACTTAAAAAACTGAAATCACGCGCGCGTTTAGAAATAGCCCTCCGATGCTGCAAAAACTACTTGTGCTATCAGGATTTAACCATACTTTTTTAACATGCGTGAACGGCGCAAAGTCGTTATAATGCTAATTAGTGCTAGTCTCTCACAGAAAGGCTGTCAGAAGACGATACTCTGCACCCAGCTCATTTGTCATAGCGCGAAAGCCCTGTAACCATGCACCATGCATGCACGCTAAATATGCGAACTTATACATGTGCGCTGTTGCAATAAAGCTGGCCGAGCATCTTCTGTAGCATGGTGTCTTGACAAGCCCCAGCGTAGAAACGAGGCGTAATAGAGGGGCCGGCATCAGCGAACGATCGCCCCTGGTTCATTAGGAGGGCTCTGCGGCGCCAAGCAATGCATCATGTTTCCAGCCTGCCAGCTCATTAAAGTCGGCAAGAGCGCTCATTTCAGCCAGAGCGCCACATCAGCAAGTAAAACAAGACTTTGCTGCTGACCACTGCTGTGCTGTGTTGACCAGATATTACTAAAGACCTGCCACCATCACGCGACATTCGCTATGTGTCGGCCGGCTAGTGGCTGGTGCACGCGTTGCGTTTATTCGACTATGATAGCTGCCGCCAGCCAGTCTATCACATTCTGGGTGTTTAAGGCATTGTGCTATGTTCCCACCAGAGCTCCACTTAGAGCC